TGAGCGTGTGTGTGTGGGTATGTGTGTGGGTGTGTGTGTGTGTGTGTGTGTGTGTGTGTGTGTGTGTGTGTGTGTGTGTGTGTGTGTGTGTGTGTGTGTGTGAGAGGTGGTTAATAATCTGTTACCTGTGGACTTTCTCCTCTAACACTAAAACTTGGCTCTCACTCTCTCTTAAGTTTTTCATGCTCGATCACCCAGAAGTCAGACGGCTGCAAGTGAAATGGAAGACGATCATAAGGTAAACTGATTATTGATTATTGATTAATTATTGTCTCTAAAACAGTCAGTGAACAGTGAGCAGGTGATGAACAGGTGGACTGTAGAACAGGTGGACAGGTGGTCTGATCTCTGACGGTCTGTCAGTCCTTGTACTTATTATTATTTTTCTTGATGAAATTATTATTTTTAATGTAAAGATTCAGTTTGAACGTATTTCTGAGTTTAACCATTAATGTTTCCACTTCACAGGTTTTTCTCAGGTGTGAGCACATTCCATCTTTTCTCAGTTCAAACTGACCTCTGATCAGTCAAAGACAAACTCCATCTGTGTCCTGTGAGACCAGGGACAATCCTGGACAAACTGGGGCCCTAAGCAGAGTTTGTTTCAGCAGAAATCCACCACAAACAGACTTTAGATATTTTGGTGTAAATGTTAATTAGAGAATAAAACGAATGTAATGTGAATGAAAGTACGAGCCTCAAAATTATTAAAATGCAATTAATATTAATATCACTACTATTACTACTATTATAACTATTATTACTACTTTTACTAGTAGTATAAATACTTGTAACTAGACCTGCAGGCAGGTATTAATGGGGTCAAGCCCTCAGCTGTTCGCGCCTGCCCGTCGAGCTGTTAGTGCAGATGGAGATTCTGGCCACACTACAATACAAAGACTTTTCATGTGTGTCTGTTATATCAAACAAACAAGCTTCTTTTCCTTTCTTTGAACTCCTTTCAGTGATCAGTGGTCTTGTATTACATGGAGTGAATACAACCTGTTTTGTGGAATCCTTTTCAGTTTGTTTATTGTTTATTTATTGATGCGCCCCTAGTGGCCAATCAGTGCCAGATCATGTACAGACCTCAGAGTGATGTGAGGAACGACTGTCGAAGGTTTCATGTCTTTTGAACAGATTTTTCCAAACATATGCAACACTTCCTGATTTGACAGCTGCGGCTGATTACTTTGAATTTTTTAAGTTTGAAATGTTAAATGTGAAGGAATTCAGATTTAGGCCACGCCCACTTTAATCAGTCATTACAGGTATGAGTAATGTCACTCTCCAGCAGAGGGCGACAGTACAGCTCCATGACAACTTTGATAGGCTGCAAAGTTTAACCAATATATGACCACCGACTGGTCAGTTTACCTGTTTAACAGGTGAGTGCAGAGCCTGAGCTTCTCTCAGCAGTAGCTGGTGCCATCTCACCTGGACAGACCAGGAGCAGGTATCTCACCAATGATTGGTCAGGTGTTGATAATTACAGCAGGTCCCTTCGCACAGCACCTGTTCTGTGTAGGGAGAGAACAAGACTGTCTAAATCTCTGGACATCACAGGTGGGAGTGTCCAGGTGTGTCAAGTTGTGTTCAGGAGTGTTATAAATTGTGTACCTGTATTAACAGGTGTGTCTGTCTGTCTAATCAGAGTCATGATTACCTGGCAGAGGGGCAGAGTCACAAAGCAGACAGTATTGACCTGCCAATGGGAGAAGACAGAAAGGCTTCACGGCCAATGGAAGCAAAAGGGGCGGGGTCAGACATGATTTATACCATCGAAGACGTTCCACCTTGGTACCTGTGTGTTTTACTAGGACTTCAGGTAAGACTTGGGTTTATATTAGGATTATAATGACGATGGATTGATGATGTCACCTGTCACCTGTTCTAATCTGTCTACAGCATTACCTGACGTGTTTCAGCGGGACTGTAGCCGTCCCATTTCTTCTGGCTGAGTCCATGTGTGTCGGTCGAGACCAGAACACCATCAGTCAGCTGATAGGAACCATTTTCACCACCGTCGGAGTCACAACCTTGATCCAGACCACCTTGGGGGTCAGGTGAGTGTGGGGGTCAGGTGGTCTGGACCACGTCATCACTTCCTGTCCCTTGATCCAGAAGTCTCTGGGTCTTTGAATGTGTTTTTGGTTTGATGATGAAATGATATTAATTTGCATAAAGAGAGGGAAGTGAACAGGTGTGTCTGACACGTGTGTGTGTGTGTGTGTGTGTGTGTGCGTTTGTGTGTGTGTGTGTGTGTGTGTGCGTTTGTGTGTAGACTTCCTCTCTTTCAGGCCAGTGCATTTGCTTTCCTGATTCCTGCTCAGGCGATCCTCAGTCTGGACCGCTGGAGGTGTCCCAGTGAGGGTGAGACAGTCCGTCTGTCTGTCTGTCTGCCTGTCTGTTTGTCTGTTTGTCTGTTTGTCCTCCTGATTGTTTTTTGTTTTTCTCTGCAGAGGAGATTTATGGGAACTGGAGTCTTCCTCTGAACACCTCACACATCTGGCATCCCCGCATCAGAGAGGTACATGGTCCTTATTATTTCCACAGTAGGTTTGACCGGTCCAGGTGAGTCCTGAAGCAGCAGACAGACCTATCAGGGTCTCACCCTGCTCAGCCTCCCTAGGAAAGCTCTGAGGACAACAGGCAGATCCAGTCTTACCTGGGAATACCTTGATCTTCCAGGATCTGCCAGACCAGAAAGCGTCCATCAGTTGTCCAGAATCCTGCTGGTCTCAGGCCTCATTGTCTGTTGTGTGTGTGTCTCAGATCCAGGGCGCCATCCTGGTGTCCAGTGCGGTGGAGCTGGGGATCGGTCTGTGTGGGTTGCCAGGTTTGCTGCTGGAATACATCGGTCCACTCACCATCACTCCAACTGTCTCACTGATTGGCCTGTCTGTCTTCACCACAGCTGGAGACAGAGCCGGGTCTCACTGGGGCGTGTCAGCACTGTGAGACACCTGTCTGTCTGTCTGTCTGTTTGTCTGTCCGTCTGTTCACCTGTCCACCTGTCTGTCTGTTTGTTCCCCTCTATCTGCCTGTCTATCTGTCTGTCTGTCTGTTCATCTGTCTGTCTGTTCACCTGTTCGCCTGTCTGTCTGTCTGTTTGTCTGCCCGTCTGTTCACCTGTCCTCCTGTCTGTCTGTTTGTTCCCCTCTATCTGCCTGTCGATCTGTCTGTCTGTCTGTTCATCTGTCTGTCTGTTCACCTGTTCGCCTGTCTGTCTGTCTGTTTGTCTGCCCGTCTGTTCACCTGTCCTCCTGTCTGTCTGTTTGTTCCCCTCTATCTGCCTGTCGATCTGTCTGTCTGTCTGTTCATCTGTCTGTCTGTTCACCTGTTCGCCTGTCTGTCTGTCTGTTTGTCTGTCTCTCTGTCTGTCTGTTCACCTGTCCGTCTCTTTTAAGCTCCTAATAAATGAAATATTTCATAGAAACTACACAATGTTTGACAGACAGACATAGAGACAGACAGGTAAATAGCTTTCCCTCTCTCTCCTCAGGTGTATTTTGCTCATCGTGCTGTTTGCTCAGTACCTGAGAGCGACATCACTTCCTGTTCCTTTTTACAGTCGAAAGAAAGGACTGACAACCACTAGAGTCCAGATCTTCAAGATGTTTCCTGTAAACACACGCGTGCACACACACACACACGCGTGCACACACACACACACACACACACACACACACACACACACACACACACACACATACACACAC